CCGGGGGAGGTAACGGAGACTCTGGTGGTCCAGGGGTGGGATAATAGGATAAGCTGGAAGCGGTGTGGGACGAGGACCTGTGGTAGGATGATGACTGTAGGATAAGGAGCCAGGGCTGGAGAGGGATAATGAGTCTGAGGTGGTGTGGGATAATAAATGGAATGGTGTGGGATAATGAGCCAAAGCCAGAGTGGGATAATGAGGTGAAGCCAGAGCTGGATAATGAGCTGGATTTCCTCTCTGCTGGGAGCCAAACCCATCGCGTTCTGTGTGAATCCATGCAATATCCCAATTCCTTCAATTGGCTCTGAATAATTAACCCAACCTCATTACCAGCTCATTTGCATGTACCCAGGCAGGGGGCTCTCCCACCCCCATTCCCACCCCCGTCTGCATTCCCACAGATCAAAGGCCTGGAGTGGCTCGTGTCCCTGTACAACAACAACCTCAATGGAATCCTGGCGGACGAGATGGGACTGGGGAAAACCATCCAGACCATCGCCCTCATCACGTACCTCATGGAGCATAAGCGGATCAACGGCCCCTTCCTCATCATCGTCCCGCTCTCGTGAGTACCGGAGCGCCTGGAAAATCCCACCCAGCTGCCACACTCCAGCCCCACATTCCCACTTTCCCACCCTTTCCATGTCCCCCAGGACTTTGTCCAACTGGGCCTATGAGTTCGACAAATGGGCTCCTTCCGTGGTCAAGGTCTCCTACAAGGTAAGTGCCGCGCTCCTCGGATTCCATTTTCCTCTTCCCGCTCTGTTACCGTTATGCTGAGGAAGCTGCACTGGGTCCCAGCTCCATGAAATCCTGTTTTTGATTGTTCCTCCGCAGCAGGAAGCCCCAAACCTCCTCACTTTTCTGTTCCCTGTGGATAACAGCCCCTCCTACCCCCTCTTCTGGGAATTCCCTCCTCGCCTGACGTTACTGGTTGGAATTCTCCCTACAGGGCTCTCCGGCGGCACGACGCGCCTTCGTCCCGCAGCTCCGGAGTGGAAAATTCAACGTCCTGCTCACAACATACGAGTACATCATCAAGGACAAGCACATCCTGGCCAAGGTGAGGCTGGGAAGCACTGGACCTGGAGGTTTTCCCAATCTCACCTGCACACGGATGCTGCAAACAGGAAAATCCCTGCCTTGTTTATGCCAAAACCTGGTATTTTATTCCTTGGAGCCTCTGCAGGAGCTGCTCCCCCTTGGCAGCCAAAGCTGAGGTGGAATTCCTGCTCCTGCTCCTGATTTTTGGCAACATATCCCATGATCCATCAGATAACGTGGTTCCCTTTTCATGAAAAATTCCTTGGATAATTAATATTAGTTGGATCCCTACAAGACCATTGTTGCCAAGGGGTTCAGATCCATGGCCACGGAGGAAGGATAAGTGGGATGGAGCATTGTGCCAATGGAACAGGACTCGGATAATGCTCCAAATCCCAGTGTTTGAGATTGAGGAAGTAGGGCCTCCTCCTCCTCAGTGGAGCTGGGATCAGCCATCCTGGCAGGGATCCCCTGGTTTCCCTCCTGGTGTGGGGGGACCCTCCTGGCGTGTTCCTCTCTCAGAGCCTCCTTGAGCTGCTCCAGCGTCGTGGAGCCACCGCAAGCTGCTCCGGGCACATCCACACCCCCTAGTTCCCTGCATCCCTGCCCTTCCTGCTCCCACAGATCCGCTGGAAGTACATGATCGTGGACGAGGGGCACCGGATGAAGAACCACCACTGCAAACTGACGCAGGTGCTCAACACCCACTACGTGGCCCCACGGCGGCTGCTCCTCACTGGGACCCCGCTCCAGAACAAGCTCCCGGAGCTCTGGGCGCTCCTCAACTTCCTGCTCCCGACCATCTTCAAGAGCTGCAGCACCTTCGAGCAGTGGTTCAACGCGCCGTTTGCCATGACCGGGGAGAAGGTGCGGGAAAGGGAGAATGCGGGAGTGGGTGGGGGCTGCTGGCAGCAGGGACGGGATTGGGGTCGATGTTAATGGATAGGGAGGGGTTGGAAGTATCTCTGGAGTTCTGGGACGTGGATCAGTGTCTTTAATGGATCTGGAGAAGCTGGAAGTGGCTCTGGAGCTGTGGGATGTGGTGTCACCATTCACAGCTGCAGAGGGGATGGAATTGACTCCGGAGCTGTCAGATGGGGCTCACTGTTAATGGCTCCTGAGGGGTTGGGAGTCTCCCTGGAGCTGTGGGAGGTGGCTCAGTGTCACCATTGAGGGCTCTGTTCCCTTCTCTGGGTGACAGTTCCTTTCCCTGGTGACAATTCCCTGCCCTCCCCATCCCAGGATACTCCCATGGAGCTTCATCCCACTCCAAACTCTCGAGTCGAGCAGGCAGTTCTATTGATCCCGCTAGGAATTGAGGGTCAGGGGGTTCTTGGAGCGAGGGGACCTGGTGTTTTGGGATGTTGGGGGTCCATCCAGTTCCATTTCTGATGACAATTCCTGTTCCTGGTGACAATTCCCTTCCCTGGCCAGGTGGACCTGAACGAGGAGGAGACGATCCTCATCATCCGCCGCCTGCACAAGGTGCTCCGGCCCTTCCTGCTCCGGCGCCTCAAGAAGGAGGTGGAAGCTCAGCTGCCAGAAAAGGTGACACCTTGCCTCTCCCCATCCTGGGATATGCCCATGGAGCTTCATCCCACTCCAGAACCATTGCTGGCTTGGGTTGAACAGGTGTTTGGGTTGATCCTTCTGGGAACCGGGGGTTTGATGAGTTCTTAGAGTGAGATTTTGGGGTCCATCCCAATCTTCCCCATTCTGGACTACACTTAGGGGATGTCCATGCTGCTCTTCCCCATCCTGGAAGGTGCAGGCGGAGTTTCACCCCGCTCCACAGTCATTGCTGGGTTGGGTTGAGCAGGCAGTTGGGTTTGATCCCTCTGGGAACTGTTGGTTTCCCAGAGGGGCTGGGTGTGACTCCCCGTTGGGTCCTGGCAGGTCGAGTATGTGATCAAGTGCGACATGTCAGCGCTGCAGCGGGTCCTGTACCGGCACATGCAGGCCAAGGGTGTCCTCCTCACCGACGGCTCCGAGAAAGACAAGAAGGTCTGGATTTGGGAATGGGTGCTGGGAATGCTGAGCATGGGTGGGTTTGTCTCCACTGCAGGGTGGGTTGAGCTTGGGCCCCCAACGTATTTGGGTGATGCATGGAGGTTCCTCAAAGCCATCAACAAGTCTGTGAGGAGATTAAAAACACAAAATAATTGGAAAAAGACACTTTGATCCCAGCTAAAAGCTAGAGGTGGGAGATTCCCTGTTTTCCAGCTCCATTCCCACAAAACGGCTGGGTAGGAGCAGCCTCACCTCAAGGGGACTTGGAGGTTTCTTAAAACCTTTAATTTATTTTAGCGTCTCTGAGCCCCACTGTCAGGACTGTGAACTCCCAGTGGATGTTCCCAAACATTCCTGGGAATGCTGGACTGGCAAAAAGAGATGGAACCCAGCATTAATCTGGGTTTTTAACCTCCTGGATTGTTCCTGGCAGGGGAAGGGCGGCACGAAGACGCTGATGAACACGATCATGCAGCTGCGCAAGATCTGCAACCACCCCTACATGTTCCAGCACATCGAGGTCAGGCAGACGTGCAGAAACGGGGATAAACCCAGGGGGATGAACCTAAACAGCCATAAACCCCACAGGTTCAACCCAGGAAAGCCAGGGATGAATCAAAAAGAGGGATAAACCCAACAAAACTGGGGTAAACCAAAACCAGGGATAACCCTAATGGGGATAAACCAAAACAGAGCTAAACCCAAGAAGGATGAACCAGATCAGGTCATCGGGCCCACCCACTCCCAACACTCTGTTTTCCATCCAAACCAATCCATTCCATGAGGGAATTGGAGAGGGAGCAGGGCTTGGCTCTTTTAGGCAGCTCCAGACAGTTTGTGCTGGTTTCTGACACTGTTTCTCCTCTCGATTTCAGGAATCCTTCTCGGAGCACTTGGGGTTCACGGGCGGGATCGTGCAGGGGTGAGTCACGAATTTTGAAATTACCAGTGAAGAAATTTGTGAATTTGCAAACTCAAATGGTTTCTAGGGGTGCAGGATGAGCCACCTTCCCTCCAGGCAGCCCGAGGATCCCAGCGAGGGGGAGAAACCACATTCTCAGCCTCAAATCCTGGCAGTCCTCTCATTGTGCTGGTTTTTGTCTGTCCCAGGCTGGATTTATACCGTGCCTCCGGGAAATTTGAGCTCCTGGACCGGATCCTGCCCAAGCTCCGGGCCACCAACCACAAGGTGCTGCTCTTCTGCCAGATGACCTCCCTGATGACCATCATGGAGGACTATTTTGCTTACCGCGGCTTCAAATACCTCAGGCTGGATGGTGAGTGCCCCTGGGGGGTGTGGGGGTCAGTGGTGCCCCTGGGTGGGGGTCAGTGGTGCCCCCAGGGCGTGGGGGGACAGTGGGTGCCCTGGTCAAGGTGGAGCTCAAGGTCAAGACATCAAGAAAGATACCAAGATGGAAAGAAATGAAGATATTGTGCTGGACAGGAAGATGTTGAGGAATATCAAGATAGAAAAATACAAAACCATCAAGATATGAAAATAAACCTCTAAGTAAAGCTGTAAAGATATCAAAATAGACTTGAAGATACTGAGATAAATTTCAATGTGTCAGTATCAAGGGAGAAAGTGAGATAAGATATCAGTAAATATAAAGATTGATGTCTTGATATCCAGATTTCAAGATCAATATTGAGGCATTGATATTGAGACATCAATAGTGAGATTGATATCAAGATTTGTATCAAGATTGGCATCAAGATTTCAAATATCAATATCTTGATATCCAAATTGCAAGATCAATATCAAGATTGAGATAGCAAGATTTATATCAGTATTTATACAAACATCAAAGTCATCGAGACATTGATATCAAGATTGATATCAAGATATCAAGATCAATATCTTGATATCCAGATTGCAGTATATACATCGAGACATTGATACTGAGATACCAGTAGAAAGATCAAGGTTTGTATCAAGATCAGCATTAAAGATACCAAGATCAGGGTTTCTATCAAGACTGATTCAAGATATCAGAGATTGATATCAATACTTTTTAAGTTTTGATATCAAGATATTGAAGATTATATCAATCTATCAAAGACTGATATCAAATTATAGAAGATTGATGTCAAGATGGATATCAAGATGTCAAAGTTGGATATCATGGCATCATGTCCTCATTGTCTGCTGTTTTTCCCATTTATTCCAGCTGATCTCCTGATTAATCCTGGGATCTTGTGGGGTTGGGAGAGGGCCCTGGGGACTCCCGTGTGACTAAAACAAATCTGGATTAATTGTTTGGATTGCAGGGTTGAGTCAGAACGGGTTGAGCTTTATGGTCCCTTCCAGCACAAACCGTTCCGTGATTTGGAAATGAACACGGGTTAGGAGCACAGATGTGACCCACGGCCCCCACATATCCCTGAGAACGGCCCCAAAATGTCCTCAACGCTGCCGTAATTCCGGCTGCTGCAATCCCAACTTTTGGGACACCTCCCTCCCCACCTCGGAGCAGGATCTGCCCCTTTTTCCCTCCTTTTTCCAATCTTTCTACCAAAATCAGCCCAGCCTTACACAGGACCCCCCTCCCAGGGGGAAAGGGCTCCCTGTTCCCAATGGAGCCGCTCTCTGGACCCCCAGCACCCCTGGCTCCGGTGCCGGGGGCGGGAGTGACGCCCGTGTGGGATTCCAGGGACCACGAAGGCAGAGGACCGGGGAATGTTGCTGAAGACATTCAATGAGCCAGGCTCCGAGTATTTCATCTTCCTGCTGAGCACGCGGGCCGGGGGGCTGGGGCTCAACCTGCAGTCAGCTGACACCGTCATCATCTTCGACAGCGACTGGAACCCACACCAGGTACGGCCAGAACCCGCCCGCCCGGAGACCGGCCCCAAAACGGATCCACGGAATCCAAAATTGACCCAAAAATCAACTTTAAAATCGGCCCATTGATCCAAAAACACACCCAAACCCCAATCCATTGATCTGAAAATCAACCCAAAACCAACTGGCCCAAAAACCACCAACACAGAAATCTACCCAAACCCAACTGACCCAAAAATCAACTTTAAAATCAGCCCTTTGATCCAAAAAAACACCCAAACCCCAATCCATTGACCTGAAAATCAACCCAAAACCAACTGGCCCAAAAAAACACCAACACAGAAATCTACCAAAACCCAGCTGACCAACTCAAAACCCAGCTGACCAACTCAAAACCCAACTGACCAACTCAAAACCCAACTGACCAACTCAAAACCCAACCGACTGACCCAAAGAGCAACCCAAAAGCCAGCGACCCCAAGTCAGCTGACTGACCCAAACCACAGCCAGCCAACCTAAAATTCAGCCAAACAAAAAAAAACATCAGTGATCCAACCCAAAACCAACTGGCTGACCCAAAATCCAATGAACCAGCCCCAAAACCAACTGACCCAAAGAGGAGCCGTGGGGGTGGAATTCTGTCATTCTCCAAGAGGCGCTGGCGCTGTCCTGGAGAGCCACCCCCAAATCCCCGTGCTGCAGCTGGGTTTTCCTGCACCCTCTGTCTCAGAAATAAAGAGCAATCAGTGATCCCATTCTGGAATTCCCGTAATCCTCTGGGATTGCAGGGGCATATCCCATGTCTTTGAGGATAAAAACGGGGTTTTTGGGACCCCTCATCTAATGCTGCTCCTTCCTGCAGGAATGCTGTTCCTGGGGTCCTGGTGGTTCTGTTACCCAAATTCCCTAATCCTTGGGGATCCCTGAACTCCTCATGGTGCATCCCACATCTCTCCCATGCTTTATTTGAGGTTAAAACCAGCTTTTTTGGCACCTCTTGGCCCGTGTGGCCACTTCCTCCAGGACCTACATGGTCCCAACACTCCTGTTACTCAAATTCCCGTAATCCTTGGTGGTCTTTGAGAGCCCTTGGGGTGCATCCCGTGTTTTCCCTATTAAGGCTAAAAGTGGAGTTTTGGCAGCTCTTGGCCAGCGCTGCCCCTTCCCATGGGACCTCCATGATCCCATTATTGAATCCCTGTGATCCTTGGGGATCCCTGAGTTCCCTCACGGCTCATCCCACATCTTCCCTGTGGGTTTTGAGGACAAAAGTGGGAGTTTTGGCACCTCTCTTGCAACACTTGCCCTGTCCCACAGGACTTACATAGTCCTGGTGTTCCCACTGCCACATCTCCATCATCCTTGAGAATCCCTGCAGATTTTGAGGACAAAATCAGGGGTTTTGGAACCCTTTGGCCAACACGGTCCCATCCCACAGGGCTTACATAGTCCTGGTGATCCCATTGCCACATCCCAGTCATCTTGGGAATCTCTGGATGCCCTCAGGCCTCATCCCACATCTCCCCCCATGGATTTTGAGGACAAGAATGGGATTTTTGGGAGCCCGGTGCTATCGCTGCCCCTTCCCCCAGGACCTGCAGGCCCAGGACCGGGCCCACCGCATCGGGCAGCAGAACGAGGTCCGCGTGCTCCGGCTCTGCACCGTCAACAGCGTGGAGGAGAAGATCCTGGCGGCCGCCAAGTACAAGCTCAACGTGGACCAGAAGGTGATCCAGGCCGGAATGTTCGACCAGAAATCCTCCAGCCACGAGCGCCGGGCGTTCCTTCAGGCCATCCTGGAGCACGAGGAGCAGGATGAGGTGAGGGCTGGAGCAGAGTTCCCGTGGGAATTTGGGGGTCAGGAGTCAGAGAGAAGAGAAGGAAAAAAAAAAAAAAAGAAAAAAAAAAAAAAAAAA